CAGACAATACAAAATATGTACATGCATTATATGTACAGTTGAGGTCAAAAGTTTAAATCCCCCTTTTCAGAATCTGCAAAATGTTAATTATTTTACCAAAATAAGAGGGATCATACAAAATGCATGTTATTGTTTATTTAGTACTGACCTGAATAAATTATTTCACATAAAAGATGTTTACATGTAGTCCACAAGAGAAAATAATTGTTGAATTTATAAAAATGACCCCATTCAAATGAATTCTTAATACTGTGTTCTTCAGGTCCCACAAATTCTTTGGTTTTCTAGCATTTTTGCATATTTGAACCCTTTCCAACAATGACTGTATGATTTTGAGATCCATCTTTTCACACTGAGGATAACTGAGGGACACATATGCAACTATTACAGAAGGTTCAAACGCTCACTGATGCTCCAGAAGGAAAAACCATGCATTAAGAGCCAGGGGGTGAAAACTTTTGAACAGAATGGAGATGTGTATATTTTTCTTATTTTGGTAAATATCTTTTTTTTTTTTTTTTATTAAGTACTGCCCTTCAGAGGCTACAAAAGATAGTTACATGTTTCCCAGAAGATAAAATAAGTTAAATTTACCCTGATCTTCAAATTCTTAATGCATGGTTTTTGTATATGTATATGTAAATTGTTAGGTGTAAATGCATTTTACCAACATGTATAGATGGATTTATCTCCTCTCTTTCTCTCTACATGTGTGTCAGGGTCCAAACCCAAAGTTCTGGCTCCTCAGTGGGAAATAATGACCAAGAGGGTGTCTGAACCAAGCCGAACTCCCTCTGGCCTGCAGGATGAGGTTCATGAGCTGGACTGACTTCTGCTTTGACAACTGACTGCTGCACTCTGACCAGATGAGCAGGTACAGCTCTCATGACCATTTCTAATGCATATTTTCTCAACAGGTACATTTAGTAGATATTCTAATAAATTTGAGCCTTAAAATTGCTTTAAAAAACCCTGCCATCAGATGTAAAATATGTATATACACTACTGTTCAAAAGTAGCTGTTCAAAAGTGACAGTAAAGGCATTTATAAAGTTACATAAGATTTCAGTTTCAAATAAATGCTGTTCTTTTGCACTTTGTTTTCCTCGAAGAATCGTGAAAAAAGAAATTGTTCATGGTTTCCACAAACATCTTAAGCAGCACAACATATTTTTTAACATTAATAATGATTATTACTATATAATAACATAAAAAAAATACTCTCAAATGTTCGTCTTTCTGGCCCATATAATTTTTTTTTTTTAAATCATGTAACCCTTCAAACTAGGGCTGTTAATTAATACAATTCTGAATGTATACATTTAAAACTAAAATTAAACTTCGAATTCTGCAAATAACTTAATTTCAATAAAATGTGATTATATTGTTTTTAATACTTGAAATCCAATATATTAAAGCAACAACTGGTGTCTTGTGTTGTACTACAAACTCTGACAGCATCTCTTTAATGCTCAGGTGACTCGAGAGATTTTTTCAGCTCTCAGTGACGGATGGACCTAAGAAAGGATGTGCGGTCCGAAAGCCCTGTCCAGGCGGCCCATTTTTACAGCTGAAGCCATTGAAATGACTGCAAAGCCCTGACGTCTCCATGGGTTAAAACAGCCTGTGGCCAATCGCAGGACTGATCTGATTGTACAGGACTGATTATTATTATTTACCATCGGCTGTTACTTCTGTCATTGTAATTATAATTATTACAATTATTATTACTGTTCTTTTTTTATCAAGTATTAACCATTTTCTTTTTAATGACTTGAGAAAATGTAAGAATCTCGAACGTTTCTTGAAACGACTTGCTCCCAAACCATAATGTAAAGGTGGGACGGACTGTAATTTTTGTCTCTCGCGTTGTTTTGTAACATGACAGTTCCGCGCCGACGTGAAGGACTATATGACGTTTCTCTTCGTTTGGATGCTTGTATTCTGTTAGTCCGTCCTGCCACAGTGGTTTAAATTATTCCGAAAGACAACAGAACGTTCTTTTTCTACCTTTTTCACGAGTATTGCAACTGCTCCTATATGTAATTTCTCTTTTGTGAATATGTAAATGAAAACAGGAGGGAGGCGTTATTGTACAGTGGTGCATTTTGGGCCTTTGGTGGTTATCAAAGCTTGTTGTAATGGATTTGCCATGCACAGCGTATTCTTTGAAATGTCTTTTTGTAAGCTCTCTCCTGCATATACGGAGCGGTGATGGGAACTCTGAAAAGGTACTACCCCATTAATACAATGATGCACCTTCTTAAGAATGAGCTTGTATGGGAGTGTGGTGTTTAAGTTATTCCTCACGTATGCACGCAGCAAAAAAACTGAGTGCTTCAGGCCAGGGATATGTGATACAACCCAGTTTACTGTGCAGTTGGCTTATCAAATATTGATATCTTTAGGCCAAAGCAGAGCTTCACACGCTCATCACACATTTTCCTTTAAAAAAAAAAAAAAAAATTAAAATGAGAAGGATGTATACACATACAACAGACTAGTTGTAAACATTTTTGGAAAATCTCAAAAAGTAATGTGTAATTTGACACTTGCAACCAAAGATACTGAGCTTAGCAGTTTAAAGGATGTTTTTTTGGGAATGATATTTTTATAGACACGTTTTCATGAACTGCCATAATATCGAAAGCAGAATAGGTAGAATATAGGCTTATTTCATTCCTTACAAAACACGTGTCAATTTGGAGTCACTTGTGGTGGAAAAAAATGACACTACGGATATCAGGCGAACTATATTTTAATGTTTTTCATTTGTTATTAAAGGGATATTTAATCCAAAAATAAAAAGCTGTCGTTTACTCACCCTCATGTTGTTCCAAACCTGTATAACCTGTATTTTTTCTTTGGAACATAAAAGATATTTTAAGAAACATTTCAGTGTTTTTTTGTCCATACAACGCAAGTCAGTGGTACCAAACATTGTTTATCAACATTCTTTAAAATATCCTCTATTGTGTTTTACTGAAATAATCAAGTCATACGGGTTTGGTACGACATAATTAAAGGGGTCATATGATGTTGCTAAAAAGAACATAATTTTGTTTATTTGGTGTAATGAAATGTGTTTATGTGGTTTAAGGTTAAAAAAAAACATTATTTTCCACATACTGTA